TGTTTGTGTATGTGTTGGGAAGCATTATTGGGCGATGAGTGCCTTTCGTTTGGATGCGACTGATACTTTACCCACTATTTATAGTTGGGATATGATTTGTGCATTTTGATGACTGGCGAGACGATCAAAAGATTAATGAAAATACCAGATTGCAGTTATATGTTCATCGACGACTAATTTTTTTTATTTTGCGAGCACGTGTTTAGCCAACTCGATCTTGACAGCATAAGTCATTTGTTTATAATTGTGTGGATCTTGACAGGAAGGTCTGTTATTTATTATTGTGTGCAACACTTTGCCGATTTATGACGTTCAATTTTCTTTGGTAAAATATTTATTTGCGGACAAACAATACACATTAACTAATAAACCAATATCCCAAACCTTACTTATCATTTCCACAAAAGAGGCCATAAACGGCTACATAGTCTAAACAACATGCATCTACTACAAATCAAAACACCCCTTCACTACTTGGGCAAGCAAGTTTGGTGGATTCATAATATTTTTAGCACTACAACATAAATGCGCTTAATTGATTCAACAACAATAACACGCACGCATACAAAAGGTGACGGCAAAAGTTTTACTATGTTGTTGGGAACTAATTAGAGCACGTGGCACAAAATAGACGACTAAAGTTCACCTCTAAGTCTGCAATCTACCATAGCATGAGACAAAAGATATTAGTAAAGTTGATTGTCCAATGGGCGTATGATCATTTTTCAGTGCATGCCTTCTTTGCTGCATTGTTGATAATAGGTTGTTGGGTAATTTTTTTTGGGCGCCCAATATTTTCTGTTACATTCATTTATGCATCGTTAATGGCATTGCCATGAGCGTTGAAGTTTAGTGAACATCTAGTGTGTGGCTTCGATGTAAGACCACCTTCTTTGGACATACTTTGTGCAGCAAGCGCCAGTATATATGCTTCTGGATTTTTGGTATCTATTTCATTCTCCTCAGTCGGCTACAACAAAGATCATTAAAACAATCAATATTTTTTATTAATATTTTTTGTTGTCTATTTAACACGTTCCACGTCATTTTCTTCACCTGGTATGTCTTGGTGATTCTTCCCCTACGTAGTCATTGGGAACAAGCATTATGTAATCCGTCAGATCACAAAACAGACAACATGTGTCCCGTTAATTTTTTTCTCTTATGTTTTCCACTAAGCTTTCGGTCTGCCAAAAGTTTATTTTGTCTTCATTAAACAGTTCGTATAATTTGTATAACCGTTGTACCTATGAAATTTACATGTTCATTTGTGCATTGCAGCTGCATTCCCGTTTTGCTAATTAGATTTTCTGCGTCTTGTCCATAGGCCACAGCGTGAACTGAACCGTTTCCATCCCCAATGGTAATTGAAATTCTAGCCCTAAATAATGTGGTGGGACATGTATGAGGTCCAACGTGTATGAAATATTGTTTAATGGTTGTAAAGAATGTGCATATACGATGTTAATACCTCGGTAATATTTGGTTATCTCTCTTGCAAGAGTTATAGTGAATTTCAGAGTTCAGTGGCAGCTCTACTTTTTGTAAGCAATGCATGCATGCTCCAAACCACAGTGGTTGTTGCACATAGCCAAGAACCACTGAACCTTCTGTCCATGCTGTCTGAATCTATTGCAATTTTAAGTGTTATATCGAGCTATGAACTATCATACAAATTACTGATGTCGTGGTCTTCTATGGCCTATTTTTTTTTCTTTTATTTAATTCAAATACCTCATTGTCAAGATTGATGAGTGCCCCCACAGTCTTGCTGTCTTTAGGGTACTGCGGCGACAACAACCCAGAAGTATTTTTGTAAGCTTCAGCTACAACGAGGTCTGCAACAACAATCTTTTTCTGCAGGTACCTATGTTGATTGCTTAAATCTATTAATATTTTTTTTTTTTACGCGAAGTCTATTATTGAGAAATGTAATTTTAAATTGTTGACCATTGTTTAAAGGCAGCAGCCTCGGATGTGGGCAGATTGATGAGAATAGAACTCGCAGCTCTGGTTGACAACGAAAGCCCTATTTATAACGCACAACAAATTGTTTAAAACTATTTGAAATATTAGGGCCTAAATGTGTATGTTTAATTTTACCATGTAATGTTGTAACTTTAACTTGCATAGCAAGTACAACATTCCCTGCATCAACGGTGTTAGCCAACTGCTCACCTTCATTCTCAGCATAACTATTCCATAAAGTGAGTATCTCTGGAATCCTTCTACATACATACAATTCACCTAAGACAACCAAATATGTTTTTATGCCAAATAAAATAATATGCGCAGACCAATTAGAGCTTACTCAAATTTTAACAAACTGTAGTAAAAAGGCACGCTCTCGTCTTCATCCCCCTT